CGCCCGAAGTGCAGCGCATTCCCAGAGGGGTTCCCTTCTGTAAGCAAAACAAACACATGAAACTACTCGAGAAGGGACTCCCGAAGGATGTGATGCCCGGCTTGAAGACCGGCGACGAACCCATTCCTCCCGCGGGTGTCAAAGGGCTGACCGATAAATACGGAAAGAGCTGTGAATTGAGTTTTCGTCTGGAAAAAGACGAATTCTGTGTGAAATGGGGAGAGAAGTCATTCAATTACAGCATCTCTGAAGTCGATAACATCGACCACCAGACCATCGATGGACACGAAGAATACTCTATTCTCTTAATCCAAATGAGACACAAAAAGGATTTCTGGTTTTATTGGATTCCTCATCAGTATATCAATAGCATCCGAAAGGCGTTCACTTGATTCGCACCAAAACATACTGTGATATAGGATTCAAATAATAGTTTATTTTGACAATTATTTAGTTTAATAAACAATTTCTTTGGCATAGATTTATTTATTTGAGTTTTATATTTATAATTTCAATATAATTTGTTTTATTATATAATTTAGTGAATTGATTGTCAGATTAACTAATTTTTTATAACATAAAATATTTAACTTGATAAAAAAGGCATTAACATTGAGAACATGATAATTTGAAATTATCTAATTCGCAGACTATTATCTAAATGTTGACAAAACTCATGAAAACAATAATTAATACTCAATTAAAAGTTGTAAACAACTTATTTAATTCACTAATAATGCTAAACAATATGATAAAACATTAAGAATACATCAAAATAAACATTATTTATTAACAACCGGTAAGTTTAACTAAACTTTTAAAATAAATAAATCGATAATTAAAATAAAATTTAAGTCAATAACAGTCTGACAAACGATTTGGCAGTGTTTGACAGCCATATAAATGCTGGACTAATAATTGCAATAATAATTATATAATCAAATGTTTAATTAAGTGAAAACAATAATTTACTTTAAAAACAAACAAAAAACATGTTAACTATTAATAGCCACCAATTGATTGGCATCGCTGTTATTGTCTCTCCTTTTGCTGATACACATCAACACAATAATTGCCGGCAAATGTATTAACGAATAGAAGAACAGTTTGCGCGAAGACTTCGAGTCGGGATTCTTGCGGAACCGATAGGACAGGTATATGAGGTAGAGGTTGAGTGGCAGCGAATCGATGCCATACGTCCAGGTGGTGAGCGTTGTGCACATCATTGTGCTGTACAACAGTATTAGACACGAGTGTCTGAGCGCTGTGTTAAGGCAGAGGTCGGGTTCGGTGACCGACATCATGCGGAAGCCGGCCCTCGCGTACTCGTGTCTCATATTCCACGACAAGGCGTTGAAGTGCGGGAATTGCCACGAATACAACACCAGACCCATCATCAGTGCCGACGCACCTGTCATTCAAATGCATACCATTAATGGCAAACAAATCGCGCGACAATCGGATCAAACAATTCAAATACCGATATAATTATTGGCGGCAGTGAAGCCCATAATGGGAGGAATGGCGCCGACAACAGCGCCCACCCATGTGTTGGCGATGTGAGCCCTTTTCATAGGCGTGTATATGAATGAATAGAGGATCAGATTGGATGCGCCCAACACTGCCGTCAATGGGTTCACGTATGAAAGCAGTGTCAGACCCGTCACACCGGACACCGTCGCGAAGCCAATGGCGTGTAATCCACTGATTTTGCCCAATACTAGTGGCCGACTCTGAGTCCTCTTCATCTGCGCGTCAAATGGTATTTCCAAGTAATGGTTGATAGCTGTGGCCGAACCGGACGTCAGGCCCGTCCCGAGAAGCGTTGCCGTCAATACCATCGGATCAATGGCTCCCTGAAGACCCATATAATAACCCGACAAAGTGGTCAACACTACCAGACCTTTAATGAGATGATAAACATATTCAACACATTTAATGACAATGAGTGGCATTTAAAGAGCAAAATACCGGTGAGTCTTAGTTTCGCTAATTGTGTGTAATATTTGATTAATGTCTTTGCGTTGAGTCTATCGACGGGTTTCCACTCGTGACTCGTGTCCAACAAATTGGTCTCTTTATTGCCATCATTTGAATTGATATCGAAAGTGGTCTTAATGTGAGTCTTGGGATCAATTTGTTGACTCTGACGACTGCCATAGAAGACATCGTACATGTGATCCCATTTGGGACAATGAAGGAGCAGATTATTGCTGCCATTCAACTGATCGATCTGTTTGTCGGACAAGTGGTGGTCATTATCTTCGCGTTTGGCTTTAGTGGTCAACAGACGCCGATTGGGATGACTTTGCGGTGACTTTGGACTCAAGAGACGGCCACTTGTGGTGAGACAACAGCTCCCGAAACGGGAGTAAATGGACTTGAATTGTGTATAAGTGGTGTGACTTTGTTTGCATACATTAAACATAATTATTAATCTCATTATTAAATCATATCTTAATTGCAATCAATTGTCCAAAAGTTTGAACACATTTTTGCTGTGAAAACAAAACAACAA